GGGGGGCTGCAGGCGCCACCTGGGAGCGGGAGAAGTTCAACTGGAGTGAGGCAGGAGCTGGCAGAGGGGCCCAGAGGCAGCGGGAGGGCTGGCACGGGCAATTCTTGGGGTTTTCTCTCTATTTGTACACCTTAGACTATCCTTTCGTACCCCACGCCATCTCTGCAATTTTATTTTGGTTGTTTTTTTTTTTTCTTTTTTCCTTCCCATTCTGCCCTGAGAGCTGTAAATACTAACACTTAAATCTTTCACCTGCTGCAGCAGCAGCATCGTGTCACTGATGGTGAACGTGAAGAGCACTTACATTGTTTAGGTTTGTGAGTTGGCTTTTGGCATGGAAAACAGCCTTGGGGGGAACACTTGCATCCAAGATGCTCTTCAAATGTGGCTAGTTTACTTAGATTTGAGGCACGATGCACTTAAACTGTACTTTCATTCTCTCTTTCTTCGTTTGTTGGTATTTCTAAGTGTTTTGGCCAGAAACGTAAGGTTTAGAAAGGAAAACAAACTGGTGCCAACTGAATTGAATGTAAATTTCGGGTGCCCCAAACTGTTCTTTCCCTAAGGATATCATTTAAATGGCTGGCAACGTTTGCTAAAAGTTTGTTCTGGATTAGTGCTTCCAGTGGTACAGAATTAAATCTAAGCTCATCAAGAAGAAGCAATTCTATTAAACCTTTGGAACATATGCCCAAAATGAAATTGAGGAAACGCTAGTTGCAAATTTTCATTTTTAATTGAGCTTCAAAACACTTGTTTTGGCTTCTGTTTTTTTAATCTTGTAGAACTTGTTTCTCTGGGGACTTTGTGACCCTTTTGCTGGTAGTCTCTGAGTTTGTCAGATTTATAGTTTCAGCTCAGTGAAGTGGGAAAATACTATGGATACCTAAATAGGCAAGGTAGCAATTAGTAATAATAAACTACCCTCTTTGGTGTGTGATTGGCCAAAGGAGTGTCCCAGATCCTGCTGCGCTTGTGTTTGGCCAAGCTTGTTAATTACAACCTGCCTCTAGATAGTGAGTTTCATATCCTCAAAAGTTTCTGCTGAAAGGTTTTTGTTTTCTGCCGAAGAACATTCTTTATGCTGCTTTTTTCACCCTCTACCCTAAGATTCCCGTCCGAGGGCTTAGACCAGGCATTTGAGGTCTTCAATAAGATTGGGCCTGGGACTGGAGGGAATCCCTGTCCATCTTGCAGCTGGCTCTTTTCCACTCGAACGATAAAGCTCCCTGACACCAGGGAAGAGAGACCTGAGCGTGAGAGAGAGCTGCTCTGACAGGAGATGCTTCTGTTAAGAGCATCAGATAAAGGGAGGAATTATCAAGATCAGGCTGCGCTGAGAACTAAAAGCTAAACCAAGTTCCTCAATGTTTTATTAAAATGCCTCCTGTATGCAAAATGCTTGTAAAAAGTGCAGTGAAAGATGTGTCTTCCCCTGCCCCCTGTGAACTTTTTGGGGTATTTCTGCTTGCAGTTTGAGAGCGAGAAAAGCTTTTAACACATCTTGGCCTTTTGCTTTAGCGCCCGTCCTCTAGAGAGTGACACTTAGTTTAATTTTCCTGATGAAATAAAGTTCTGGTCAGGCTCGGTGGGGTCTTTTGGTGTTCCTGGAGGGTTGTTTTGATTCCTGAGGTATCAGTTGCAAGTAGCTGCTTGGCCCTCCTAGGAAGCATCTTCTTGTTTCTGCCTTTGAGCGCTGGGAGAGCGCTCAGGTACTGCAGTCATGGCATCGGGACAATTATCTGCCTAGAGGTACCAGGTCAGCTGGTGCCTCTTCTCAGCTCATGCTGAATCATTCGCAGTGTTCTACCTTGTTCATCCAAGTGTGTGATACTCTCCATGTACAGCCTCCTCGTTAGGTGGCTCGCAGTTTGGGTTGAGGTGGGCTTTGCTCTTAATTACTGATTTTTCCCTGGGAGTTTCCCAAGTGTCATCCAAGGTGGATACTCAAATCCCCGAGACCTATTATCTCTCCAGCTTTTGGTTGTTTTGCTTTTGATACAGACTTGTAGTAGGATTCATTTCACGTTGAAAAGCAGCCGCCCTGCAGGTGGTAGGGCTTTTCTGCTTCTCTAGCAAACAATACTTTTTCCACTTAAAAATGTCAGTGCCTAATTTTTGTCATTGACTTGGAGCAGCTCTCTTGAGCCACAAGGTACCAGGCAAGACGGACCTGTTGATTTGGTTTTTACTTTCATAGATAACTCTTAATGCAAAAATGGCATGGGGAGACTTCACCCAAGGCTAATACTACAAATAAAATTATCTTGCTTTAAAGTATCTGTATTTGATGCTTTGAAAGACAAGATGGACTGTTTTTTTCCTGTGTGCTCTGGGCAACTTTTTGATGGAACTAAAAGGTGGCTGTCTTCTTACTGGCTAGTACTGGTTTGATTACTTACATCTGCTTCCAGTTTCCTAGTTATCCATGCTCAGCTACAATATGTATAATCTAACACTTTTAAGGTTTAGGTAATTTATTGAACTTCATTTGCCAACTCGCTTTACCTCTACATTTTAAGAAGGCCTAATTTATTTCTGATATTAAATTGCTATGTATTAGCATTATGCAATACTAAGCAACTGCTCACCAGGGAAGCCTGGTCTGGCTGGTGAATGAGTGTTTTCTGTCATGTATTCTACATGCCACCTTTCAAAGCCCTTTTTTTGGGGTGAAAGACAGTTCATAGGTTTAAAGTATGATCTTGTAAATGATAGAGTTCAGTGTTCTGCAGTTACACCAAAGATTTGACCAGAGTGGGACCTATCTCAGTTAACCTCAGCCCCTTTTCATGTTTCTACAATACTGTAGATAAAACTACGCTCGTTGTAAAGGACAGTGTGTAAGAGACTGATGCACAAGCTAAAAGGAGAGGCAAACATGCCCATTAGCTTAAAAAAAACCCCACACAATAACCCCCTCCCCAAACCCCTTGCCTTACAGAGCTCGGTTTTTATGCCTTCAAGAATATGGGATTTCTGTTGTCATAACCATTTCCAAAAGTACGAAAAATGAGGTGCTCAATAAGTAACTTTCATATTTGTGTAAAGTGTTTAAAACTGTAGATACAGTATTTAAAGTCTGAGTGCAATAGGCTCAACTGAGACTTTGATTAAATGTCATATAAAGTAAACTACATATGCCTGCATAGAATAGTAGATATTTTTTTTCAAAGTAGCTTGAAATGGTTCTGTTAAGTGTACGAATGTTCTGATGATTATCTTTTTAATTAAAATGAGAAATCTTTGTTTAAAGTGGCATTCTTTTTTACGGCCTGTTACAGTCTCTGTAACAATCATTTCTTAAGTCTGAACGTTTTTAATTCCAGGAATCCATTTATATAAAACTATGTTTAGACTTAATTAAGGAACGATTCTTACAAAGCTTGTAAATAGCCAGGAAAAAAGGGACAGAAAATAAAACTGACATTCACACTTAACAGAATGATTGTTACAAGGTATGTAATATGCTATAAAAATACAATAAAGCCCTTTTTATAAGAGTTCATATTTTTTGTTCCTCATTTTGAAAGGTATTTAAGAAAAATATCAAAGCTCTATGAAGCAACATCTGTTTTCTTGAATGGACTAGTGACAACTTCAGTTGTGTTTAATTAGCGGAGCTTTACCTGACCAGTTTGGGATCCTTATTTAGGTGGTTTGGGAGGCAATAGCTTGATATTTAATGAAGTTTCACTTTCTCAGTTTTTCTGAATGAATCATTTTGCAGTACTTCATTTAATTTCCCAGCTTGTGAATAGGAAGATGTTCATACGAGTGTTCTTCAGGAGTGGCTTTTTTCAATTGCACCCCCAAATTACCATTTTCCTTTTCTTTCTGGGTGACATGATTCTATGAGGTCCTGATGGCCTTCCAGTTTCACAAGAGAACCAAAGCCTCTTGGTTGTTTTTTAAGATGCATCTGTGGGGTTTTTTGTTGTTGTTTCTGGCTTTTTCTCTTTTTTCTTTATGAGAGAAAACCTTGGAAGTTCCTTAATTTTTATATTTATATTTATAGTCCACATAACTAGCAGGATCAGTCAGTGTAGTAGGAGGCCTGAAGGGTAATAGACTTGGAATCTCTCTTTTTTTTTTTTTTTTCTTTTTTATTCTGTTTTTATGTGTATGTAGGGAACAGAATGGACAAAAGCTGTTACTTCAAAAGAGGTTCTGTTTGCATTCAACCTGTAGGATTTACGGTGTCAGTAGGACTGGGATTTTTCAGAGCTACGACTTGTTAGCTATTGTTATAAACTCAGCTTTGAGAACCTTACCGTCTTTTTAATAACATATTTGCATTGTGGTTGTTGTGGCAGAGAGTCCTGGGTATCCAAAGCAAGAGTGGCATAAAACCAATATTTTTTTGTAAAAAGCTGGGAGAACAGAGTTGCCTCCTAAACGCAGAG